TCTATCATCTATCTATCATCATCTATCCATCCATCTATCATCTACCATCTATCTATCATCTATCTATCTATATCTATCATCTATTTATCTATCTATGTATCTATCATCTATCTTATATCATCTATCTATCTATCTATCATCTATCATAATCATCATCATCTATCATATTTATCATCTATCTATCTATCATCTATCATCATCTATCATATCTATTATCTATCTATCATCTATCTATCTATCCATCCATCATCTACCATCTACCATCTATCTATCATCTATCTATCTATCATCTACTATCTATCTATCTATCTATCTATCTATCTATCTATCTATCTATCTATCTATCTATCTAAACCTTCTTCCCCCAAACACCCTCTGTTTTGAAGCCAGACTAGCCAGTGTAGTGAAATGCCCATTTGTGACTCTCTACACTCTTATGGGACAGTTGTAGGTTTCCATCTCTCCTGGCTCTCCTGTGTGTCCTGATACTGTTATACCTCACTGGAGTTGTTAGCATCTCCTTACAATTCCTGCATCTTGGAATTGGGCCTTTTAATGGAATTTATCATTTATTCTCTGGTTTTCTTTCTTTCAAATTGCTGCCTTTAGAGGTCTTTGTAGAGTACCTATCTCACTGTGAACCTGCATCCCACAGGACAGACAGATCTTCCCGGTCACACTGTGAAAACTGAACTTTGTCCATGTGTGGTATTGTTGGCAGTGTCCTCCTAGGCTGGTTGGTTATCCTCTACCTTAGCTTTTTCCTTTACCATTTTTCCTTCCTTTCCATCACTGATTCTTGTCCATAGTCTTTATTCCTGTGTTTCTGCTAGCAAACCATTTATATTAAGATTCCCAATCCTTTTTATGGAATTTTTTCCTTCTTATGGGTAATGTCAAGATTCATTTCTTAGTTCCAGTATCCTGAAATTTCTCAAATATTTAAGTAAGCATGAACTTAAAAGATGCATTATGCTGCATACTCCCTGTTTTTTTCTACTTGATAATAAACACATCAGAAAATATTCTTACATTATTTCTTTCTCAGCTTTAAACCCACCTTTTTCTTTACTTTTTAGAACTTCTGTTAGCCATTAGTTTTACCTCTTACATAATTAATTTTTTAATCTTTTAGAACAATTTTCTAGAACTTTTCTCAATTTTATTTAAAACACGTTTACTTTAAAATTTGTTATTTATTAATTTCTGAGAACCTATCCAGGTTCTGCAGATAGTCGTAGCTTTCAGTTCTTAGTGCATCTACTCTGTCACCATGAGATAGTCCTTTATTTTATAATGTGAATACACATTTTATATTATGGTTGGAGTCTCCTTTTCTCCTTTTCTCCTTTTCTCCCTGTACTGGTTATCTCTTTTATATGGAAAATGTCTTTAGTCCATTCCTATGCAAGAATGAGGCACTAACTAGCTCAAGGGAAGTTTTATGTGGAAGGGGTGCTTGTCACCTGCTGGGATCCCCCTCTAGGGTGACCAGACGGTAAGCCAGCCTCATTGGGCTCCACTTAGGGTGACCAGGTAGTAAATCAGTATTTCTAGGCTCCATTATAGGGTGGCCAGGAAGTAATCCAGCCTCACTGGGTTTACCTAGGGTGACCAAACAGTGAACCAGCCTTCCCCACAGGGGACTTCACCTCTTTCTAAAACATTATTATTATTATTATTATTATTATTATTATTATTATTTTAATTTTATGTGTATGAGTGCATTGCCTGCATGTGGGTAAGTGTACCCATATCATGCAATGCCCATGGAGGTCAGAAGAGGGCATCAAGTCCCATGGAATTAGAGTGATGGATGGTTATTAGCTACCATGTGGGTATTAGGAATTGAACCAAGTCCTCTGCAAGAGCAGCCAGTGCTCTTAGCTGCTGAGCCATCTTTCCAGCCCTGACCTTAATCTCTTGATATGGATGTATATCTCTTCTGAGATAAATCAGTTAAATCAAAATGTGGTATCTGCACCACCAACCACCACCTCCACTACTGCCAGAAGCAACTGGCATCTTATGAGGAAATGCAGATCATGGTCCTACCTCAGACCTACAGAATTAGTCAAAATGTGCATTTTAAGATGTCCAGGAAATTTGTAAGCACACAAACATTTGAAAACTACCAAATAGCAACACAAATAACAGCAAAGCATTCCACGGCTATTGTTTATCTTTAGGGTACTTGTTACTTAGTTCTTCTTCCTCCTTTAAACAGGTAACAAAACCAAATAGCACATAGGTGAGAATGTCGTACAATGGAGATGTGATGTGGTCTAGTGAATAGATTTGACTACAGTGCTATTATATTTTTAGAGTATAGTTTTATCTAGCATGGGCAGAGTTTGGTACTATAGTATGGTTTTAGAAGAAGACGGACTTGGGATGAAATATTTCATCTGACAGATTTGAGTCAGCCAGGTTATCACTTTTATCCTTGATGTATACAGTATATCTGTATTTTACGTGGTTTTTAAGATTATATAAGCTAATAACACACATATTGCCTAGCAGAAATTGAATGCATATGCAATACATCCTAATTTTTTTTCCTTCCCCCAGTGAAATAAACATCAGAATTGAAATGCCTCACAAACAACTGCAAAGGAATTTACTACAAAGGATTTTATCTTCTTCTTTTGCGTATTCTGTTTTCTGATAGCATTAACCTTTTTCTTATGCAATGTTACTCACATGCCTCTGATTTAATTTTCTGGATTCTTTTCTCCATAGACATCAGGAAATTTTACACTACCCAGTTATTTCAGTAAAGACTTGGTAAAGCATAATGGGTGTAAGTCCAGTGTGATTTTACTTATGAAACAGATACTAAAGAGGTGAAATTACTTGCATCAATTAGAAAGATTTTTGTCTTAAGAACCCATAACAAAATACAGCATACTTAAGATATATAATTTGATAATATTGATGTATATAACTATGAAATCACAATTGAGAGAGGGGAGCATCTCCATCACTCCCTAATTTCATCTTGGTTTCTTTTTGAGTCATTAGTAATCTACAAGTGCATGATTTAGCTTTCAAACACTTGGAATTTTCCAATTGGGTTTGTCACTTATTTCTAATATAATTCTATTTTAGTCAGTGAACTGCTGACTGTGTCAGTATAGTCTTGTTAACATATTGAGATTTGCTTTATGATTTAGAGAATAGAGTTCTTCATAAATGTCACGTGTGCTCTTAAAGAAGATACCATATTGAAGAGCGGCACAGATTGTGAACATCAGGCAGTTCACATTGCTGACAGTATTGTAAAAATCTTCTGTATCTTTGGTGATATTTTATCTCAATGTATATGACATTTCAAACTAAAACATGATTTGTCCGTTTCTCCTTGCACTTCATTAGTGTTTGTTTCATGTGCTTTGGAATTCTGCTATACTGTACATGTGTTTAGAATCCTCATGCCTTCCTGATTAGTTGGTGCCTTTATCATAATGAAATGATAATATTGTCACATGACCTCTACTTTGTTTGATAACTTTATTTTGATTAATAAACATTGGGAGCTGTATAGCTTTTCTTTCCTTTTTATTTTTGTCTTCATATTTTAAGTGTATTATATGAAGCATATGCTAGGTCTTATATCCAATCTGACAAGTTTTGCCTGTCAAATGAATTGTGTAAACAACAGAGCAGAAATTGAATAACAGAAACCACTTCGTGAATTTCACGTTCTTCTCGGCTTGCTGCACCGTCTCTGTCAGTTTTGACTAATTGTTTTGTTCTTCACGTTTCCGTCTTTCTATGTCTGGAAATTTTTGGTTAGATGCCAAATGCTATAAACTTGATTCTTATGTTGTGATTCTTATTTTTGTATTCTTATAGTTATTTCTGAAACAAATTACTCTGTATTGCTAGTTCTTTAAGGTCTTTTCAGCTCCCTGCCATCTCAACGCAGGAGCTCGCCACTGGGCCTTGTGCATGTCACATGCTCTCCAACTAAGCCACACTCCTAGCACTGGAATTATTTTAAAGCATGTATGTCCAGCCTGTGACCAGTGGGCTGCATGAATCTCAGGATAGCTATGAATGTAGTATGATATATTTGGAGATGGTAATACTATAATCTAAGATCAAGAGGCTGGACACCTCTGCTTTAAAAATTATTTATTTAATTTTATGTGTATGAGTGTTTTCCCCGCATGTATGCAAGTGTACCACATGCATGCAATACCTGAAGAGGCCCAAAGAAAGTGCTGAATCCTCTGGAACTGAAGTTATGTATGGTTGTTAGCCACCACGTGAGTGCTGGGAAACAAACTCGGGTCCTCTGCTAGAGCAGCCAGTGCTCTTAACTGTTGAGTCATCTCTCCAGCCCCTGGGCACTCTTCTTCAAAGATTTGTTATTCAGTACTGGCAAAATGCTGGTTGGCTTTGGAGATTAGCTATTAATGGTGAGAATCTTTTATCTTGCTCTACTCGATAACTGATGGATTATAAATTATTTCAATATGACTGTAAGCAATAGAGTATATTCCTGTTATCTTGTGATCACTGCACACTTATCTTTAATGTTCTGTGGTGAAGCTTCCTAATTTCAAGCAGTTCCTCATGTGTAAGATTTGGTCTCAGATGTGTACTAGAAGGAAGGATGTGCTGATACTCTTGCTCCATGGAGTCCTCCCTGGTGTCCTTTCTGTCAGACCCTAAGCTTCATCCTGACTCAGCATGTCCACTGAGCTCTAAGCTACCTCATCCTGTGCTGGGTCCTAGAGTCTGTCTTAAGCAGCAAGTGGGGATAATTGTAGGTCTTGCCTTTCTTGCCCTCTGTCTTCCATGAACCTGTGTTTTGCATTGTTCAGTGGCTATTAGTGCTTCACCATGATTGGAAGCGGCTATCAGATGGAGAATTTATAAACCTCCGTTAGTATGTGTTTCAAACGTGTTAGGTGATCCGCTATGATATCTGCTTGAATAGACTCATCTATCATGTAAATCCAGCTTGTTAATAGTCTGTTTCTTTTCAGCTTTCTCTGAGGACTCTCCTTGTTATGCAGAAAACCTGGATTGGAAAGTTATCATTCATAACTATTTTGTATTTTTCAATAACTTAATGAAGTTTCCAATAACTTCTATCACCAGGTAAGTTATAAGATTTAAATTTCAGGTATTAATTTAAATATCATCTGTAGATAAGAAAACTTTAATTGGGGCTGGAGAGATGACTCAGTGGTTAACAGCACTGACTGCTCTTGCAGAAGACCTGGGTTTATATCCAGCACCCACATGGCAGCTAACAACTGTCTGTAACTCCAGTTCCAGGGGATCCAGTGCCCTATTCTGTCCTCTCCAGGCACCGAATGATATGGGTGCACTTACACGCATGCAGGCAACATACTCATGCGCATAAAATAAAAATAAATAAAACTTAATCGTGGGCTGGAGAGATGACTCAGTGGTTAGTAGCACTGACTGCTCTTGCAGAAGACCTGGGTTCAGTTCCCAGCACCCAAAATGCAACTAACAATTGCCCATTACTCCAGTTCCAGGGATATCCAACACCCTCTTCTGATCTCTGAGGGCATTGCATGACACGGGTGCACTTACATACACACAGAAAATACACTCATACACATAAAATAAAAATAATAAATTAAGAAGGAAAACTTTAATCATAAGATGTATATATTCTTTAATATCTATGAGCTTGATTCAAACAGTTTGATATCACATATGCAATAACCATTTATTTATGAAACCTAAGACCATTAACAGAAATAAAACAAATGCAAAATCCTCCACATACATAGGAAACTCCTCACCTCACATAAAGGAGTCCTGGAATTGCCTTCTTGCGGGGCAGGGGGCAAAGAATTTTCTTAAACCACCCAGGTAGGATTTCTGATAAATGCCACTTCTTGAGCTATCTCTATAGCCCAAGATATTTTGAGATGAAATATAGAAATGAGTTTGTCTGGGACTGAAGAGATAACTCTGCTGTTAAGACCACCGACTGCTCTTTCAGAGGACCCCGGGTTCCGTTCCCAGCACCCACATGTCTGCTAACAACTGTCCTTATGCCAGTTCCAGGGAATCCCATTCCCCCTTCTGACCTATGTGGGTATTGCATGACATGGGTGCACTCACATATATGCAGGCAATACACTCATATACATAAAATAAAAATCAATGAAATATAAAAAGAAATGGATTTGTCTGGCATAAACAGCATACTTACATTTAACGACCATACATATTAATTTACAGGGGAGCATAACTGAAAATACATCCTTTTTTATTGTACAAAACACATTTAAAGCTAAATAAGCTCAATCAATGCTCCTATTAGTTTAACATCAAGTAAGAAATGTATTGTCTCATACATGTTTAATTTTGGTTACTCCGTAGAAGTTTGATATGTTGAATTAATTTTTATTTCTGATAGTAAAACAATTCTATTTATATTGTAGGGCCTTAAACCTCACAAAGCACCTTTTAGTGCTAGAAAATAAGCTGCACACCGCTGAGGAGGGACAGACAAACACTCTCTTTTCATTTGTGGAAGTCTTGGAGGAATTATTAGTGGGCAGTCTTTCTGACTCGTCTGGTGTTCCTGAATCCCGTAACCTCTCTTTTTTCACTCAGCGTGTTCTGACTGGAAGTGTTCTGTGGATAAACCATTTAAAAAGTTTAGCAAGTGACCTGCAGGATGCTGATGCTCAGAAACTTTTGGAATTTGGCAAACTGGTTATTGAAAAAATGAAAACTCTTCAAAATCACTGGATGAGGAGGGAAGCCAAAAATATTTTGAGATTCGTAGAATCAAAACCTCTTGAAATGAATCCAGAACGTCTACAATTCTGGTTCTATGGCTTTTCCAAAGAAGAAAGAGCTAAATTAGAAAACTCATCTATACTGTTAAATTTTTCTGTTCCAGAAAATGAGAAGATTCTTAGCAAAAGTTTTAACTCCTCCCACTTGCTCCATTTTGACTGGCCTAAATCTCCAGCCATGAACATAGACTTTATACATTTAAGCAAAATGATAATAAACAGTCTCTATGAATTTCACTTTCTGACACAGGAGCAAGTCTCTGTTGCTCTGGACACAGTACATGCTATACAGAATGCATCTGATCTTTTTTTGGCTCTTTCTGAACCTCAAGCTCACGAAGTTGCTACCATTTTGACTCATATATACCTAAACATCTTCAAAGACAAAGATGTGGCCTCACTTCTGAGGATCTATTCTTCATTTCACCAACATATTAATAAATTCTTGAACGTTCACAATAGAGACTCTCTGATAATTTACCTTAACCAAATCTCTAGAAGCATTTTGGACATCATAAAGCAGTTTAGTTTCCAAAACATCAGTAAAGCTCTGTCTCTTATATCTGAGACAGCAGAGGTTCTCCAGGGAATATCTGAAGCATCTTGTTGTCGGCAGTTGCTTTCAATGTTTAACTTTTTAGAGCTCCAAGCCGAGTCTCTGCTGTCTACAAAGGGCCAGACGTCGGGAGTGATCCTCTCCACTCTGACAGGCCTTAAGCGGCTGCTTTCGGTAGATGAAGGCTTCCGTGTTTCTTTGCTTCAGTTTGTGAATCAGCTCTCCAATGGTTCAGCAGAAGTCCTGTTAGTCAGCGAATGCTTCATTCTGGATAATGAAACAATTTCTTCTGTGAATTATTCAGGAGGTGAGGGGTCCTCACTGCCTCTTCTGTGGACACGAGGTTTTTCAAACCTCTCGGCAAATGGCAGCGTGTTCAGTGACTTCACGGCTGTTCACTGCACCCTTTCATGGCTTCAGATGTGGACTGAGATCTGCGGAAGCATTGCTCAGATGTTTAAACTTGACCCGAACATGTTTACTCCCATGCATGTTGGTCTCACTCAGCTTTTAGATGAACTGGAAAACGATGTGGAAGTTTCTAAAAACTGTCAAGGAGTATTTCCCACCCACCGTGCTGCTAGACTCATGTTAAGTTTGTTTGAAAATACAACTCAGGAGAATGGCTTTCATGACTGGGCTGCTCTCCTGGATCTCAAGAATCTTTGGGTAGCATTAGGTAACGAATTAGCTATGGTAGGACTGCTTAATCTGGACCAAGCAGAGAAATCGTTTTTCACCATGGAAACCTCCCTGTGCCAGCTGAAGACATTTTCTTTGAACACAAACATAAGCAGTGAGATTTTACATTCTCTGCTTGATGTTTTCATTGCGTTAAGCAAAGCCACGGACTCTGTGGATAGAAGAGGAGATCTGATAGATGGCTTTCTTTCAAATTATCTCACAAACCATAGAGCAAATCCCGAAAGTATCATGGCTGAGCTGAGAGAAATAATATTATTTCTTAGAAATGTGTCACATGATCAGGCTTTGTTGTCATGCACTGGTGTCTTCCAGGATGTTACTGCATTGATTTTAGAAGATAGCTTGGTATATGTAAACAGTTCAAAGAGGATAGTACAAATCCTTGCCATGTTAAATTCCACATTTTCCTCTGAGAATGCAGTTAGCAGGCTGAAAGGATGCACCGCATGGATAGACATTGTAAACCGTCTATTTGGCATGTATAACTCAAGTTTCTCACAAAGCCATCTTCACCATTCTTTTGGAAGTTTCAAGAATGTGGAGAACAAAATGAACTCTGCCTTGAACATTTTAACTTGGGTGCTAAATAAGAAGAAACCTGTTTGTTCCTTGAATGAGTCAGATGTAAATTGTGTAAATATTTACTTGAAAGACATAGCTGACTTTCTAAATATTATATTTACTACAGGGTTGGAAAAAGAGAGGATACCAAAATTTGAGATTTTATTAGCTCTTTTAAATGATTCCACAAAGCAAGTAAGGATGACTGTCACCAACTTAACAAGAGATTTTGAGTTTGCCTCCCAATCCAACTGGAAGCATCTTAGTGAATTACTTCTAAGACCCATAGAAGTGACAGCTGAAATTCCTGACCAGTTTCAAAATATTTGGCTGCACGTAATAGCACTTGGGAAGGAAATGCAGAAACTTCTAAGAGATGTGTTCCCTCATATCCTGCGAAATGAATCCTCTTCTAACACTAAAACAACTTTCAGTGTATTTTCTACCAGTCTAAAGGAAAAAGATATAAGCAGTTTAAGCAGGTCAATTTACCACTTAGCTAATTACCTTGCTCTCAGCTTATCTCACAATCTTCACAACTCATCAGAAGTAGATCCACATGAAATACTGAAAGCTCTGGGTCTTAGTATTCAGGTGATGAGGGATGTGTTCAACTCCTTAATGCCGGCTGTTCATTTCGATATTCCACACAATTCAGGCTATGCTCAAGTTTTAAAGAAAGTAGCATCTCTCATGCATTCTCTCAGGAAGGCAGACATAGAACTCTTAGTAAACCAGCTTGAACAAATTAGTGAAAGTCTACTGGATTTCTCTAAGAATCTCAGCAGATCAGGCATTGACAATTTAGGGGTCAATACTCTTGCTGATTTGGTGGAAAAATTTGTAGATAGCTCACATTCCTGGAGTGTTAGTCATCTGCTGCGCCTCTCGCGCCTGCTTCCTAAAGAAGTCGTGAACTCTGTGGTGGATGCGTACTATGCTCTTCCTCACGTGGTGGGGCTCCTGCGGAGAGTCAAGGATAAGAACATCACAGAAGGTCTCAGGGATGTCTATAACTTCACGCTTCTTCACAACATAAGCATTTTCAATATCACCAAGGAAGAATTTGCTATTGTGATAAAAACTCTTCTGGATATCGTTGAGTTAATATCAAGCCAACCGACTGTTGTTTCAGAGGCCTTAACATGCCTTCCTGTGGTTTGGTGCTGGAACCACACAACGTCCAGCTTTGTGCAGAACTCCAGCGTAGAAGGCTGCGATATCCATAGATTCACGTCTTCTTCATTTTATCAAGCCATTGCCTGGATACTTGACCTTCTCCACCTGCATCTCCCTGATGAAGACTCACAATGTTTAAATGAAAACTCACATGTGGAAATAAACAGGAAAATAGCCTGTGTGATCCATGATTTATTGGACTGGAATTCAGCTCTTTCAGAGGTGTTTGAGATGTTCTATACTAAAACCTTATTTGTGAAAACTGTCCGGGAATTTTGGCTTAAGGCATTACCCTTTATAGAACCTTCTGGAAATCAAAGTAATGGAAGCCTCTCGGAACTTTGCCCTGCTGGCACTATAAAGCAAGTAACATTTCAAATCATAGAAAAGCTAAAAAATGTCAATTTTACAGAATTTATACTGGGTGAAAACATTTTGGACAAAATAGATAGTTTAATCAAGATTCTTAATATTACTGAAGTCATAGAAACATCCACACAAAGCAGTATTTCCTTAAGTTTGGAAAGGTTATTAAAATTGATTTCTAGTGCTTGGAGTCTAAAAAATAGTGCTCACTACTCACTTTCTCCATTTATGGTATTTCTGAATACAAATCTTACAGAAAGTAGTTTAGCATCATTATTGAGTTTAATTAAAAATAGCAAAGTGCCTTACAACTTTGAAGAATTACAGTTCAACTCTAAACAAACCCACAAAAACTCATCCAATGACTTGAGTATGGGACAACTGCTTTCTAAAATTAATAAAAAGATCCAAGGTATGGCTCTTCAAAACACAACTTTGCAACTTTCTCACTTTCTAGAAATCTTGGATTCATCATTACTGAAGGCACTGAAAGTTATAGAAACTTTTCTGTTAGTCACAAAATATTGGCTTCATGAATACGCGAATGAAGATTACTTCAGGTTGATACAAAGATTATTCATTGCCAAGGCCAATGAGAGCTCAACTGATGAAACTGTGTTTACTGAGGATCTTACTATCTATTTGGACTATCTCAAAAACATTTCTAGAAAAGACGATTTGGATATTTCCTTTCTCACCTATCTGCTGAATCAAGAACAGCTAACAAACTTCTCAGCTGTTCAGTTGTTTCTTGAAAGCATGATGGTGAATCCGATCAATATCGTTTCTGGGGTTTCCGAAGAATCAACTCCAAATTTAAGTGGTGCTGACCTTCAGACACCGAATTTCATTAATCTCACATTGAGTCACATGCAGTCAGAGAACAGTGAGGAAACAACTCTTCCCTTGGCAAGCACAGAGAATCTCATGAAATGGCTTTTGGAGACATACTCCTCTCTTTTCCTAAAGAAAACGTCTGAAAATAAAATATCACTTCTACTGAAAGACTTCCACAGAGACGTCAGTGCAGAGATGAGGTGAGTGTACCTTTGCCTCCCACAGGGCAGCCCTGCTGGTGTGTCTCAGTCAATTTTCTGAAGTAGAGAAAGGCCAATAACAGAACCTCTACCTAAGTTCTGAATGCTCTTCCAAGTGAGCTTGTCTCCGTCAGATGACTATATCAAGGTAAAATAATCTCACCATCTGACCAGTAAGTATTTAAACCTAGCTTTTATTAATTAATCATATATTATTTTTCCAATTCTGATTATACAATTAAGAAATTATTTCTTATGGGAAACAGAAAGATTAGCTTTTAATGGATTTACATGTACATACAGGATGATAATTATCTCAGTTGCAGTATTACTCATCCAATCACAACATAGGATTAAATATTTCTAGTTAATCTACTGTTAGGGTTGTATTTGGAATCAATAAAATAGTCATGCTGTTTTTATTCATAATCTTCTAAAATCTCTTTGAAGGTTACTAGTGAAAGTGCTAGAGAAAAATGCTCACTTATTCTATGTGGGAGTCTACAGGAAACCAGCCATATGCCAAACATGTAGCTAAAGAAGTTGGCTCATGTAACTTTAGAGGTCAGATAAGTGAATCCAAATTCAGTTGGGCAGGGTGCAGGAAGGGAAGATTGCATCAGCCCCAAGACCATTGTGGTGAGCTAAAGTTTGTGGTCCAAACCAAGGGGATCCACAGGGAAGGAGCAGTTGCTTACCCAGCTGCTGTTGGCATCTCCAAGTCAAGGGGTTGCTCAGAAACTGCTATACAACCTTCCGGTTGTGGCAGGCCCATTTAGGACAGTTTGCATTCTCAATAACTTGAAGTTAACTGATTTTTAGCCACTTCTACAATGTCCCTTCTTAGCAAGACTTTAGTTTTTGAAATCAGTACCTTATAGGAGGTACATTTATGTTATAAAATGGCCACTGCCTCCCATCTACCCTCCAGTGCCTTTGAGGAAATGTCTTTTGTAGTCCACCTAGCCCAAACATTTAGGATGAAGGGAGTGCTGGGACTATCAGTCATCCTTGAGAAGGTAACATGTCACAAAGCCATTACAGTGACCAAGCAATCCACCAATTTAAAAAAAATTTAGACCAAGGTATTTATTCTGTCTTTCCTATAAAAACTATACTACAAAGTAAATAAAATACTGATTGCAGAGTTACTTTCTTATAGAAATAGTTCACCTACAAATTAAGAAACTCCTAATAGGCCTGGGGATGTAGTCTGGAGGTAGAGAACTAGTAGAAAGCTAGTAGGACAAGGCCTGGTGTTTAGCCTCTAGCTAGGGATAAAGCCAAAAGAAAAGAAACAACAACCAACTACTGAATCAATGAATCTACATATTGATCACCAAAAATTGCCTATGACAAAAGAGAGAAAATTGGACATTCTGTGTTTCCAGATAGAACATATAATTACCCAAGAAATAGCTTTTATTAAAAAGTAAAATAAAACAAAAAACATTTAGGATAAGGTAAAAATAGCCTTTCCACTTTCCAAGACACGATTCTGTCAGGAATCACCATGTAGGGAGACTGGTTTTATGCTATTTCTTGACCCAAGCAAAGGCTACCCATTTTAGAATTTTTTTCTTTTACCCTTGTACTCCTACAAGGGTACTCCTACAAAGGTAGGAGTTTCTGAAACTTAAATACCCAGAAATAGAGTTCTAGTGCAGAATATAGGGTGTGTGTAACCTCATCTAAACATTTTGAAGGGGAGTGCCTTAATTTGCACTCCCATTTGAGTGTGAGAGTTCCTGTAGCTCCACATCCTTTTGTTTGTTTGTTTTGTTTTGTGTTTTCTTGACAGTGTCTCCCTAGCCCCAGCCCACCTGTAACTCACTATGTAGATCTCTGTGAGATCTACCTGCCTCTGCCTTCCAAGTGCGAGGATTAAAGGCATGTGCTGCCACATTGGGCTGCATCCGTTTTGGATGGTGTTGCATTTACTCCTTTCTGTGACCCTGATGAGATGATGGCAGAATTCCATTATGGTTGTAATTTTCATTTCCTTAAGGTTGAAAACTGGAAAACACATTAATTGGCCCATTGAGATTTTTCTTTTTTGAGAACGGCCTTTTTTTTCTTCTTTAAGTTGATTTTTAGGTTTTGTGTTTTTTTCCCATTTGTATTTGATAATTGTTAATAGTTATTTTTATATTCTTTTCAATTTATTTTTATTTTTTGTGTATGAGTGTTTTGCCCACATAAGTGTGCCCATGTCATTCAATGTCCACGGAGGCCAGAAGTGGGCATCAGATCCCACTGGAACTGGAGTTACAGACAATTGCTAGCCACCATGAGTTCTGGGGACTGAACCAGGGGCCTCTGCAAGAGAAGTCAGTGCCGTTAAGTGCTGAACCATCACTCCAGCCCCTATTTTTGATATTCTTGATAGTACTTATTTATCAGTTAAATGTGTTATACCTATGTCCTTTGATTGTCTAACTTGTTTCTTCCATTCCTTTATGGTATTTATTGTTGAAGAAGGTTCTAAATTTAATGTAGCCAATTTATCAATCTTTTCCTTTTATGTAAAGCTTAATAAATAATCTTTTAATAGAAGCAAAACATTACTATGCAGTCTTAAAAAAATCTCTTTTCTTGGTCCTGGAGAGATGGTTCAGTAGTTAAGAGCTCTGGCTGCTCTCACAGAGGACCTGGGTTCGATTCCCAGCACCCACATGGCAGTTAATAACTATCTGTAACTCCATTTCCAGGGAGATCTGATGCCACCTCTGACCTCTGTGGGCATTGCATGACAAGGGTGAACTTACATACATGCAGGCAATACACTCATACACATTAAAAACAATAAATAAAAAGTTAAAAACCCTTCTTTTCTAAAAGCAAGAGTGTGACTTTCTAGATTATTAAATTCAAAGAATTGTAATAGAATTGACTGTGAAATTCCTCTATGACTTCCTTATTTGGCAATGAAATGTGAGGCTTCACTTGGAATTATTTTAGAATCTCATATTTCACTCAATACCATTACCTTATGATTCCTTTTGTAAGACAACTTGTAATATCATTGCATTTTAATCTCTCTATTGCTAATGGTTTAGACATGAAATTAAAAAAAACTCTATATTTGCAGTTTTGTCCCCAAAGATAAAATTCTAGAAGTCCTGAAACTGGATCAGTTTCTTACCTGGATGAATGAAGACATACTGATGAGCATTTTCTCAAATTTCAAGACTCTGTATCATCTAATTAAGAACTCATTTACATCAGATAGCAGACAGCTCTATGCTGGGGACTCCACAATGAAAACTGAGACTGAAGAGAATTTGGACTTTTTTACAGTGGTGACTGAGTTTCTTTTCCAGGTTAATAATTCTGAAGACCTCTTCAAACTCAACCAAAATCTCAGGTCTGTTTTTCAGCTTGTAAGAGAAAGTTCCATAGCAATGTCAAATCTCATGGACATTCTTTTAAACTCTAGTAATCAGGACTTCCCTACTTCATGCCCTGCATTCCAAGATATTGCAGTTGCTAAGCTTACTGACTTGTTTTCATTTATTAATAGTTCATTCATTCTAAGAAACAGAAAAACACTAGAATTGACCATGAGGTTGTTTGGTGCCATTTCCAGAGTTGGTGAAGAAAGTCATACCCTGGAGCCTGTCTTAGAAATGTCTAGAACTCTGACCATGCTAGTGCATGGCAGTGCTGAACTGGGAGATCATGCTACATCAGTGGACTCCATGGTGAAACTTCTTAAGCTAGCCCAAAAAGTTTCAAGGAAGATGGTTATGATGTTTAGAACTCACTTCATCTCGAAGGACACTGTGACATTCTCTGACACTCTGCATTCCATCATGCAACAAAGTGTTCAGCATATTGTGAAAAAAAAAACTACTTTGAAAAAAGAAGACCCTTCCATATTTGAAAAGACAAAGGATTTGTTGATGCCGTTTCTTGACTTGACCTTTGGGATGATTGGAGTCACACCTAACATGTCCCAGGACTCTGATGTTTTCAATGCATCATCTAGCATACTCTCATTTGTGAACCAATCTGAAGACTTTTCTGTTACTTTAGAAGAAATGGCTGAATTTTTAATTTCTGTGAAAATCAATTTGAGAGATTTGGACCATCTTGTGGTGGTGATTAAAAATAAGACTCAACTTTTTTCTGTTGATTCAGTTAATGTAGGGGAAGATATTCTGGATTGCTTAGTTCCTATAAATAATATCACCAACCAGATAGACTTCCTGATGCTTAATCCAATTCTGACTACCAGTAGCTCTCAAGATCCAAGACCAGAAGGGATTAGTGAACTAATCCATTTTTTGGATGAAATATTGACAGAAAACAGCACAGAAAGAGAGACTTTCTTGAAAATGGTGATTGATCTTACCCTACAAGCTCTTTGGAATGGCTTAAAGGAGGATAACTGGGATGTATTTAATTTACTGTTGACATTTGCCCAGCATCCAAACGACCTTTTAAAAACCATAGAAACATTTATAGAGACCTCTAGTGGAATTCAAAGTGACCATGGAGGTGATGTAAGGAAAGATTTGTTTTTCAACATGTCTTTGATTCCGAATATCACTCGTCATCAGCTTGCAAAGACAATCCTGATTGGTCTCAGCAAAATAGTTCTCTCAAAGGAAGGGTTGCCCCCAAACAATGCTCAGTGGATACAGTTCTTACACACTTTGTTTCACCCCATTTTTGAGATTTTTCCTGATTCAACCGTTGGACAAGCTGCCATACCAGCCAAAGATGAGAGGACCAATGGAAAGAAAAACATTCCTCATGGCTTCAAACAAATGTCATACTTCCAGAAACACCTGATGGCATTGTTTGTATTGATTGAACATTGGAAGAAAGTCCTACTGGCAGAGCAAAGGTATTCAAACTCTTAATTTCCTTTATTCCTTACTTTATTCCTTCTTAGCAACCAAGAACTCAGGTCAAGTCAAGGTAAGGAGTTTTTCTCAACCCCTATCACACTGACTCAAGTCAATCATATCTTTGTTTCATTTGCCTCATTATTTGGCATCTAAATATGATTTGGATTCTTTCAAAAGTAAAGATCTTGTATTCTTCTCACTTGTTTCAAATGAATATGTACACAGCATTCGAGAGGATAGCTTTGTTCAGTGTATATACACGTGTCAAGGCATTCTTTGTGCCCCATAAATATGTATAATTGTTATATGTCAATCAAAAATAGACTAATGATGGGCTGGAGAGATTGGCATATAATAACTACCAATAGCCTCTCAAACACTGAAATTCCTTTCTTCTAGCTTTTTATGAGATTTATTGTTATTTTATTTACTTTTTAAATTTTTTGGGATTTTTTGAGACAGGGTTTCTCTGTAGCCATATCTAGCCTGGAACTTGCTATGTAGACCAATCTGTCCTTGATCTCACAGAGATCTGCATGCCTCTGCCTACTAAGTGAGTGCTGGTAATTAAAAGAGTGTGCCACCATGCCTGGAATCATTCTTAATTATATTCACCACACTATGCCATAGAATACCAACACTCTTTGCTCTTAACTATGGACCAACTTCTCCCCCACCTTCTTGATCCAACCTATAGAAGCCATCAGCCCACTTTCAACTCTGATGATATCAGCTTCTCTTAACCCCCACACCCTCCATCCACCTACACTGTTACAAAGGACAGGCTTCTTCCCTTCAATGGCTGTCATTCTGTTTTCAAACCTTAAATTATCCACTTTTGTATTTCAAGAGCAAAGAACAAGGAGATAAAGTGAATACTACACGTATTAGCAACAAAAGTCAATCTAAAATAGGAAACAAAACTTTCTGGAGGTCCAGCCTGTGCAAGCTGCACTTTTGTTTAAGTAAGCATGGTTGAATGGGAGGAAGGTTCTTATAGTGCAATATGGCTTGCCTCTCTACACTGCAGCTATGCGTGTGAGTTGCACATCCACCCTTGAACACCATTGTCTGTTTTCCCAAAGTGTTTTAGAGGCGTGTCAAGCTTTCCAGCAGCTGGAGAAGCCCTCGGAAGCCGTGGAGATGCTGCACAGAGTGGAGATGATGGCTCTGCGTGTGATCATCATCTTTGCAGGTGGGCTGCTTATGCAAGAAGTGCCTATAATTGCCCTGTGCCAGTTATCACAGCATGGCTGTCAGAGAGATGCATAGATGGGCTCTGAGTTTCTTTTAGAACAAAGCATTGTTTTCTTACTCTCATTATCAAGCTGAGAGAGGTCTGGCCTACCCTTCTCCAACCTCAATGAGCCCTGCTCCAGCCATGCTGGAGAGCCCTTCCCTACCCTGTGCTGGCCTTTCTGGTCCCTGCGTCTTTGCTCACAGAACATGCTTTCTCTGTCCACAATCTCCACTCCTGCTGTACTCTGGGACTGAGTGCTGGCAGCATCTCAAACAGGACTGCAGGCTCTCCTGTGCTTCAAGGGCCTTGAGGCGCTGTCTCCCCAAAGCAATACTTTATGCCCTTGTTTCTTCTATCTCTTTCTTTTTTCTGTTGGAGTCACTGTTTTTTTTTTTTTTTTTGGGTGTCTTTTTTTTTTTTTTTTTTTTTTTTTTTTTTGGTAGGCAGGACCCATGACATAACCATAACCATCCAACCATCCATTGTGTGCAGTGCCTGGATTGGAAATTGCAGCCTTTGGGTGCTGAGGGGTCTGTGTAGGGGCCTGAATTCCTGCATCCCTGGCACTCCCTGCTGACCTTTTCATTTTGGTACCGCCTTTCCCTCAGTAGTATATATCCTCAGTGAGAACAGCACCGATCTCTTATTAAATTACATATCTTCACAATACTCAACCACAGTGCCCAACAGAGTGTGATAGTATAAAGCCATATTAATGAAAATGAATCATAATTAATGAAGATATCCCTGCCAGGTTCATGATTACCATTTACTGTTGATGCTATTACAGAAGGATAGGACCATCAGCTGCCTGTAGAGTAACTAAATTATTTTAGGACTTTCTCTAATAGGTAAGCATGAGTTTGGAAGCACATCTGACATCACACTGCTGTTTAAGTAATTCCACATCACATGTGTAGCTGTCTTCCTATAGCCCAGTCCCCTAAACACACAGGCTTTGAGGGGGCTCTTGGGGCAGAAGCTGCTGAGTCAGCTGATGGCAGCTACTAGTGCTAGAAAGATGGATGAAGAAGAGGAGCTTGGAGGGGAAATGGGGAAGCATAGGGTAGGTTGACCGAGAAGAACAGTGAGGAGGACTGAGTGAGCTTTAACCCTTCCCCTGTGTAGCGCACCCCAAGGCTGACCCTGCAACCCTGACTCCATCTTCTTGTTCATTTGCTAGCACATGCTCACCCTCCTACCTTCTGTGATTTATTATTAGACTTACTAGGAGTTAGGCTGCTCGTCTATTATTATTACTGGGTTGGAGGTTGGTTCCTCTGGGAAGTTTCATTTGAACTATTTTATGTATGGTCAGGCAGCCTTGAGGCTGACATTCCTCCTCACTGTGTGTCCAATAACTGTCGTGTGCCAACTCTTTTGTTCTTGTATTTATTTTTGCTAAACACAAAGTGTTATATACCTCAGCATTCATCATGCCGGTCAGTAAAAGAGTCAAACACGTGGAGGCATACCTGGGTAAATTTGAATCAATTTTCTTTCTAATTCTTGAGTGTTTTTCTGGCATATGAAATTCAGCCATGTTTGAAGACATAATTATTTTGACATTTCACAGTTGGATAAAGTAATGGATTTTAAATGAATGGAACACTTATTGGTACCTGAATTTATATTAATTTTGCCATTCTGTATCACAGCTGCTAAATTAACATAACATACATGAAATGACATTAGAGAATTAATTTTTAGCTTTTGTGTTTCATTTCAAGGGAACTCAAGCATGGCCTTATATGAAGTTGCTGTTCGTCTTTCCTTGTTAAGTACACTGCATTCTGTTGAGTAGGAGCACAGCAGGAGAGCCAGAAAAGGGAGGAAGGCCATGAGGGACAATGTGAGGCAGAAGGGACCAAACAGGCAGGAGGGTCTTCTGTCACACACAACAAGTGGCCTCCGATGTTAATGCCATTATTGACAGCGAAGTAACTTTTGCTCTGTCCTGACACTGATTGCAGTATCTCCTTCTGGCTTTAATATGCCAACAATATTTGCATGAGAACCTGTTAGGTTCACAGGAAAAGTGAAACTTCAGTGAGATTCCACTTTAATGTTCTAGTGTCACAAACTGGTGGACTGAGGAACAGAGAGATGTGCCACTTTTTGAATAGAGAGTTCAAAGTCACGGCTGGAGAAATGGCTCTGTGCGTAAAGCATTGGCTATATAAACCTGAGAACCTGTTTTGGTCTTCAGCACCCATGTGAGATCTGGTTGTAATGGTGCATGCTTGCAATCTGAGTGTTAGGGAGGCACAGACAGGTGGATCCCCAGGGCTAGCTGGCCAGTCAGACTAGCCAATTAGTGAGCTCCAAGTTCAGTGAGAGACTCTGTCTCAAAAAAATGAGGTGGAGAAGGGATGAAGAACACAGCTACCATCACTTCTGCCTGCATGTGTACATGTATGAACAACCACATACAGAGAGAGAGAGAGAGAGAGAGAGAGAGAGAGAGAGAGAGCGCTATCAAAGCCAGAACCCCTCTCTAGTGGTGGAGATGGGGTGGAGGTCTTGGAAAAGCAGCATGGGGGTCCAGAGACAGCTGGCAGATATGGAAAGCCAGAGAAGGTATCTAAATGTCTTCAAGGCAGAAAAGACACGAGATAAGTGGAAGGCACTGGAACAAGGCTTTGAAGAAGCAAACTGAGGTAGAAGAAGAGGGTGCCTGGAAAGGTGGAGGACCCAGGTACAAGCTGAGTTGTTGTTGGTTGGATCCTTGTTGGATGTTCTTATGGTGATGCCTTGAGGCTGGGATGTACACTAGGAGTAGAAGAAGGCCAAGGGACCAGACAGCCTGGCACCTCTTCCCATAAGCACATCACCTGTGAGCTAACTATTTAGCAATGCCGGGTAAACCACCATGAGTCCACTTCCTCATTGCAAAAAGAGGTAGGGGTAGGAACTGAAGAACTTGGGGTGTAGCATGAAAAACCTCCAGGTAGATTTTTATAACCGACCCCTACCTTTTGAGCTCAAGGCATAAGGCAGACTGCAGAGATGAAATATGGACAGGACCTGCTAGGAGTCCGGCAATCTCTTGGGTGTGACCTGGTAGGGTGCTGGACGGAGGCCTAGAATCTCCAGCTATTGGAAGGCAGATGCAGAGGTTGGTTGGCTGAAAAGACTTGAGGCAGGGGAATGCCTTAGATACCTCCAGATGTGGCTTGTGAAGCATGGAGAACGGGAAAGCCCACAAAATATAATTCATACTTCCACATGAGAACTTCTGAGAATGAAAGAGGGAACTGTTTATAACCATGCCAGTGTAGTAGGTGAGAATCTGGATTGCTCTGGGCAAACCAGAGTGAATCGGTACTCTGCCCAGTGGATGTACAGGATGAAGGATCAGTGACTGGGTACCCCACCTAGAGGGGCAGTGCAGAAGGGGCCAGAGAATGAATGGGTACACTACCTACAAGGGCAGAGCAGGTTGGGGGGAATAGAAGATGGAAATTGATTTCTATACCAACAATTTAGTTCAGGAAGTCTTTTGGACTTAAAAGGCATAGCCTTAATGTATAAAGAGAATGTGGTATGTTTATACGATGGAGTAGCATTCAGTCTTTAAAAAGACAATGGTTTTCCTCCTTCTGCTTCCCTGGGCCTGCACAACCCACCAGCCTCTCTCCTGGGTAAGTCCATCACACCCTCCCCTCTGCACCTTGACTCCATTCACCTTCCCATCTCCCCCACCCATCTCTCCTCCTAGCCTGGGTACTGTCCCATTTCTTGTTTGGCACTCCAGATACCAGGGGAACTACCACTGCTTCCTGATCCTTTGCATCCAGACCAACCCAGTTCCTCCCTGCAGTCCCCAGGAGACCTTGGGGCCTCTTCCCCCCACCATCTCCCTTTGCATCTCTGGGTGGCATGGCCACCAGCTGCTCGAGACCAGCATCTTTCCTGGGCCCTGCTCCCAGGCCAATCCAGCTCCCAAATTCCTGAGGACAACATCTTTCCTGGAGGGATCCAGACCTTAGGAGAAAGCCTGAGAGCATCTAATCCTCATCTGACTTGGGTCTCTGTGGGAACTCCTGAAGACAAAAGCAATCTGGCTACTCCAATATAAAATCAAAAGAGAGAGTCAGAAGCTTAGAGGAACACGCTTTTCATGCCCAAAAAGTAAACCACAAAGGCACATAAAATTTATAAAAAGAAACAGACCTAAACTTGAAGGCTTGAGTCTCACACAAGAATCAGACACTACAAAAGAAATTCACATGTTAAAATCACAGAGAAAAAATAATAACATGAAAAACCAAAATAACATATCCCCACTAAACACCAATAGTTCTCTAGAGGAGTACAATAAGAACTCCCTAGAGATAATGCAGGGCATGGAACCCAAAAGAACACTTATAAACATGATAAAAGAATTCAGTGAATTTAAAAACCACAAACAAAGAAATCAAAGAACTGAAGGAAGATAGGGATAAACTTCTGAATGAATTCAGAAAAGAGCTAGAAATATTGAAGAATACTCAGGCTGAAATGAAGAAGGAAGGGAAACACTCAGTAAGCCAATTTGAAATGACAGGAGAAAGCCTCACCAATAGGATGAATGAAATGGAAAACAGAATATCAAGACTGGAAGATAAAGTGGATGAACTAGACCACTCAAAAAAGATTATGG